CTTAGTTTATTACAATTCCTCCTCTTCATTTTTAATTCTACTTAAAAATTTTTCTTGCTATCATGCAAATTTTTAACAGAAAAGTCATATTGAAACCACTTCATAAAAAGTTAAAAAACCACATTACTTTCAATGCCAAAGTTTCAAAATTTATTCTTTTAATAATATATTTTATTTTTCTTGTTTTAGTAAAAAATATATATTGTTTAACAATGAATTTATTTATACTTTTTGTAAAAGAAGATAGTTTACAATTTTAAGTAAAGTTATTTATTCAATGTATTATGTTTCTTTTTTTTTTTTAAATAATGTATTATATTTCTTTATCCATTGGTTTATTAATTGATAAACTTTATAATTTAGAAATTTTATTTTTTTAATATATTACATGCCTATATATATATATGTTAATAATGGGGAGGAATCAACATATACCATTATAAAACTTTTTAGTTTTACACATATTTTTTAATCATTGATTTTAATAAATCTAAAAAAGATGTTAAATTTTTTTTTTTTGAGTATCTCTCTCATCCCTTATTCAAATATTTAAGTTGAAACATTTAAACATTCAACTCAATAGTTAATTTAAATGATTTTTTTAAAATTATAAATACAAGTTCCAATCATAATCAAATATTACTTATATTGATAATCATTGATTAATTAAACAAATAAATTATCCAGCAAATTAAAACATAACTAAACAAATCAATATAAAGTTAAACCAAATCTAACTTAAACTTAGAATCACAAGATTTTAAAATATTTTCATTACCACTAAACTAAGGCCTGGTTGACATTAATCTTACATGATTTCTTTATTAAAAAAAATGTACAATTGAAATACAATTAAATTCAAACATAAGAAAATAATTCTAAGATGCTGCAGAAAAAGAGATTCGAAATCAGCATTCCATCCTCCATTAATAAAAACCAACAAAATTAACTGACTTCCCTAAATGACTCTGCAACACTTAATGAAATTATAGAAATATCAGCTGCTCAAAGCTTTCTAGCACAAGACTTAGTCAAGTAATTATTATACCCAAAGGACTATTTAGAGGAACTAATTAAGATATGTTTCCTATGGAGATTTCAAAACATATTCTGATCATTTATTATGAATATCCATTGCATCTTCAACTTTACCATAGAAGCATAATTCCTTTTTTTTCTTACTTCTCTCTCACACATACAATACATATACATAGAGAGAGACAGTAGAATCCGATTACATTAGTGTAAATGTTACATTTTTTTTCGTCATTAAATCAAAATTATTAAAATTTAAAATATTTATTTTGATCCGAATTTAAAGGTAAGAAAAAAAAATGAAATACATTGATGTAAATGAATTTCTCCTCTCACACACATACATACATATATATATATATGTATGTATGTATGTATTGTTATTTAAACGGTGCTTGTGCCATTTCACTAATCAATGTCTTATTTCAATCTGTTGTAATCGAGAACTTGAGCTACAATTTGTAATCCGATATATATGGCGCCAAGAAAGATGAAGCAGGTGGTTCGGAAACCAGGAATGGAGAAGAATTTGAAAGTGAGGGTACAAGCCAAACAAGTGAAAGCAGAGATGGGAAAGATAAGAGAGGATCAAGAATGCATAAGAGAGGAGCAAAGGAAAATAACAGGAAGGTTTGGAGAGATTGAAAGGCAATGCGATCAACTCAAAGAGTAAATTGAAATGAAAACTACAAAGATTTATATTCAACTCGTGAGATATTGTTCGTTTTAATCTAAAAGTCTCATAGTTTTATAATTATATGTATTACATTATCTTTTTATAATTATTCGAGTTGATTTTTTGAATTTGAGTTAATAAATTTATATTGCAATCGCCAAAAAAAAAAAAACTATAATTAATTATAAAGTTAGGTTTCATCCCATTGGGGAATCATAGTTAGGGAACAAGTTGGCTTTGGGGAAGTCTTGCTTTTTAGGCAAAGTACAGCTTTCAATCTTCACTTGTGTTATAAAAATTAATTATATTTATTCAATTAAGATATATATTTTATAAAAATTTATCTGTTTATTATGAATTAAAAATTAAATTTGATAAATCGCACTTAATCGAATCCGCAAATCAAAACTATTTATATTTTCCAGTGAAGAAATGAAATTAATGTTGATGAAACCTTAGCCAAAGTTAGTCAAGCACTTGTTATGGTTTGGAATTTAGATAACTTAGAATAATATTAAAGGTTAGGGTTGACTTTACAATCCCAATGATTAATTAGATGTACTTTGTAAAGAAGCTCAAATTTGGCAATCTTAAATGATTCTTTAATTAGAGCTTTGATTAAATTAAAGTGTAATTAAAAAAATTGGCATGTTAGATTTTTTAGTATTTTAGAATCACATGATATATATATAAGGTAACATTTTCTTTTTATAGGTTTAGATTAAACTTGAAAATATTTTTAACTCTTAGTTATATTTTAATGATCATATTAATAATATTTTAGCTGTTGCATTATCAACATTCACATTCGATTTTAAGATAAATAATCACTTACTCAACTAATCATATCATCATTCATTAAATCTTGACTAATTTGAGTGTTGGAGTACATTCTGAAGTATTACATCAAACACCTCTTGTTCTCATTCTTTATGATAGATCTAACATACTCTCCAACTCAATCTCTGCTCTCATCCACCAGAAAATTTCATCAACAACAATATTATTGAAAAAAAAAAAAGGAACATGGTTTTAGTGGAAAGGGAATATTATTCATGCCTAAGAAAGATTTGATCATCTTAAAGAGTGTAAATTTTGGATGTTTGAATGTAGTTAAGCTAAGAAAAGATTATGTTTGCCTTTGGGTTGAGGAATGAGGAGGAAGAATGCACTAGGATTTTAGCTAAAATTACAACTTTGGATTATCAAAATCAAACTTGTATGACATGGGAAAGTTGTATAATTCTTAAGGATATGCTTTTGAGGAAAAAATAAAGTAGGATTTAAAGCATCAAATGAATGGTGCAGAAAATATTGAAAATTGAGATGATATTATTAATGTAGCAGCTGAAAAATCCGATTATCTATATATCTTTGAGTATCATACGTACAAACTATGTATGTATGTGTGGTTTATTTGATAGGTGGTCAGAATATCTAAGGAGAAGCTTGTGGCTGAGAATTATGCCCCAGCTGCTCTATATTTTTCTTTCATTTATTTAGTATAGTCCTACTTTTCCATGGTGTTTGATAATGATTTAGCCAAGAATCATGAAACATGGCATGCGTTTTCAAACTCTAAACCAGTGACTTTGAGACAACGGAAATTGATTGATCTGGCTAGTTGCCCTTTCCCACAAGGTACAATTAGAAGGATCTAAATCCAGGAGGAACAGAAACCACATGATTTGGTTAAGTGTGATTGATGATGATTTCATGTGAAAACGTAAGGTCCAAACCATGTATAGTAGATATCAGAATCAAAAGCCAAATATCTATTGGCATATAGAGAAAGTGGCTACAATTCACCCATTTCATTACCTGAATAAAGTTCCTTATAATGTATCAGATATTCAAGCTCATCAGCATCAGCTACATGACCAAAAATGAAATGGAAAAAACAGGAATCAGGCAAGGGGGAAACAAGAGAGCAGCCAAAAGTATTAATAGCATCACATGCTCTGGGTCCCATGACCAGCTTATGGCTCATATGGTAGCCAAATTTTCAGGAATTTAACAGGAAATATCTCCATGTTTTTTAGCTGTTATAATTACTCTAATGTGTTAAAACATAGTTATTCGTATTAGTTCGATTTCGATAGATGATAAACAGATTAAAATTCAATAATTTTAGTAAGCAGAAACAATGTAAATTACACGATAGGTTGTTCAAAACTGTAGAACTAATTCAAGGCCTAAACACATGTTTCAAGTGTTGTTCACGGCTATCTTGTTTTTTTATAGAAAAAAATAGAAGTGGTGGTAATGTCTGTGTCTCACATTTTAACTAAAGACTTTGAAACAAACCGGCAGATTTCCTATTTAATAGATTAAATGTTGATACAATCTAATGTTAAGAATAAGGTAGAGGGTCCTTTTCTTTTCTTCCTTTTCTCTAGAACAAGTATTTTGTGTATTTGTGTTTATTTATTTCACGTCAAATAAATATAAAATATAAAAATTATCGTGTCAAAATTCATATAAACATTTTAAACACAAAACATGTTTTATGATTTTTTTCAAATCTATATATAATTATTTTTAAAATTATATATATATATATATATTGCATTAATTTCGTGTCGTGATCATTTTTTTTTCTTGGTGAACAATAAAGGGCTACATAGTATTTGGTCTGATTTTTCTTTTGGTGGTGCTTTATCTGGACCAAGTATTATATTACTGATTAGAGGAAAACAAAAAGAAAAAAGAGAAAAGAAAGCAACAGATAAGATAAAGAAAGGAAAACTTTATGATCATCTTTCGACCTTTTGGTGCTAGTTGTTTGGATTCTATGGTTATGGAAAGGGAAAGGTTCTTGGCCTTTCTGATAGGAATTCAAGTCTATCTGCCAATTCAAGGGCCTACATGGACTTTTTTGCTTTTCCAAGTTGCACCCTATTTCTATTCTGCTTTGAACATTCCCTCAACCAAACGTCATCCAAACTTATTTATGTGAAGCTGTAGCAGGTGATGATACTTGCTCCTTAGTCCCTTGGCCTCATTCAATTCGGTTTAACTGTACTGCTGGATTTTTACACACAAATAGACAACTAACAAACTTCGATCCAATCGTTTAACATTGATGCATGCTGTGCTGGAAGGGTGTGTTATCTTTCCAACCGCAGAAAAATAGCGGTGGTAGTGACACTGGATTCTATATCACTTTATGAGAATCAGAGAATCTGCTTTCATTCATTAATGAGAATCTAGATCTTTTAAAAAGAAAGTGCAGAAGATGCTTATCATGGCAGTTTAAGGTAGATTGAGCAAACATTAACAAAATGACTTGGGAGAGAATAAGAAGATTGATTTCAGTTCCCAATTTTATTTGAATACAACTGGGATTATGTTACAGAAACTTACTTTGTCCTACCTCTCACCATTTCATATATATTTTATATACAGAACTCGCAAAGCATCTAATGGAACAAAAAAAAAAAAAGAACTGCTCATACCTCTTTGGCAAAAAAAACAGAACCCCAAAAAAACAAAAAGAAACAAAGAAAAATCAGTTTCTACTTCAGCTAAATACTCTGCCGTCAAAGGATATGACAGGAACTCTTCTTCTGTTCTCCTAAGTTGGCCTGCTTGGAGAGATGGTTATAAAGAGATGAAGGTGAGATGACAAGGTGGCTAAGCTAACGAAGTTGGACTGACTTTGTAACGAATAATTAACACCATAAACCAATCAAAATCATAACTTACAGGATTATGAGCTCTCATGGAAGTTTATTGACCTAGACAATGCTGCTGGGTTTGCTTGCAAGACTGGAGAGGTTTCAGGAACCTGATTCCTTTCATCACCCTTTGATTGAAATGCTTTAAAGAGTCCTCTACCACCTATCGAATCAGATTTATCATTCTTAATGCCAAGTGTTGCCCATATAGAACTCCTTGCTGCTGCTTCTGGATCATCGATCCTCAATGTTTTAGGAATCCAAAGGCATCTTTCAGCATTATTTTCCTTTACCGGCTCCTCTTCTCCAGTGTTGCCTGGTTTGCCCATGTTCTCATCTCTTGAATGTTTTCCCAAGGTAGGGGAATTCGGACCAGAACTTGGGGCCGTTTGCTTTGGAAAGGAAGGCTGAGGAGGCCAAGGGAAATTCCATGTGCCTGGAACCGTACAACCCCAGTAAGCGGCGGCAGGATAGAAAGGCATAGGAAAGCCTGGAGGGCAGAAAGCAGGTACAGGAGAGCTCCACTGAGTTGAATTCCACGGGTAAGGCCAAGGAACCCCAGGAAAGCATGGCATCTGAGGTGGAAAACCCTGACAATTCCGCAACATTTGATCTTGTGACCCAGCTTTACCTACCTCATCCTTTGTAGTTGGGGCAGATGATCCATTTGAATGCTCAACCCCATTTTCTCCACCTCTATAAGAAACAGGAATCTTTAACTCCTCAGGCTTATTAAACCCATTTCGTGTGGTATTACGGATTGTTTTATCTGCAAGGTTCAAAACAGAAGCCATTGATTCACAAAGGGGTGTATCCGAGCCAAAGGTGAGAACAGTACCATTAGCTTTCAGGGCTGGATGGTGAACTCCATTAGGAATGTCGGTACGGAACATTTTGCATAGCTTCAGAGACAGTTATGTGATGGTAGTGAGAAGATGAATTCTTGTTCTTGCGACGTCCAGCACCCACAGGTACATTCCTCATGGTCCCCCCAGCTGTCCAGTATCTCTGGCAGTTCTTGCAAAAGTGTCGGGGTTGATTGACATTGTAATTGTTGTAGTAACAAAACTTGGTATCCATGCTGTTGCAGCGGGGGCATGGAAGTATTTTGTCGGGTTTCTTCAAGGTTTTTTCTTGTGGATTACTTGTCTCACTTTGATCTTCATCAGTTTTAGAAGTTTTTAAAGCAGTGCTCTCCTTCTCAACAGAAGGTGTTTTAGGGTTGTCGCTTGCTCCAGAGATTGCCTCCAAATTTGTAGATTCTACAGAAGTAACTGGAGGAGCACCATCATCCTGTTTAGAACCATCCTCCTTTCTATCTCCAACTTCTTGTTCAGACTCCATTGTTTTATCTCCCACAATGTCCTGAATAATTTGTAGGGAGAAAATAAGCATGAAAACTAAATTTTAAGCAGTTGAAAGAAAACAATTATTGTACTTAACAAGGAAGAATAAGTTTGAGACAAGTAGAAATTACAAATCATATGAGAACTAACTGCATCTAGTTTCCATTTCTCGTGTTTGCTAGATAAAGAACCAGTTGGACACCGATAGCAACCACTGCATTCTCACAGCTATAATATAAATTACACCAGAAAAGTTTCTTAAGAACTTATGATTTCATAGAATGTTAAGCAAGACTCAAAGCTCTTCTACCAACTGTTTCCATGATCCAAATATTCCCTATGTATGGCTATACAACCAAGATGAAGGGAAAAAGAATCTTAGAAAGATATCTTGAAACAAAAATTACGATCATAAAGGCTACAAAGAAACTAGAAATTTAATTTAAATTTGTATCTATGATTTCTTGGTAACCAGCATGATTACTATATAAACACAAAAAATTTAGCAGGCCTTAGAAGAAGCTAGCATAGCATAAAATAGTCATTCACCAAGGCAAAAGTACTGGAAACAAAAGAAAGAAAACAGTGGCGCAGGGCAGACTGCAATTTCTGTTTATACTCCATTGTGGGGATCCTAATTATAGCAGATACTTCTCATGAAATTCAGAGAAAAGAAAGCCAGGAAACATATTTCACAATCTATAAAAGCAGTCAACTAGATGAAATAACCGGCAAAACACCATATGACAATTAATTCAACTAAAAGAGGTGGGGAAAAAGGGGGATATCAAGCTGAACTATCAATTTCAAAGTAGCTAGCCAGAAAATTTCCTAATTGAGAAAAATAAAAAACCGGAGAAATCATGAATAAGATCCAAAAACCAGTATCCAAAAGATACAGCAAAAGAAAAGTACCCTATTGTATAGCAAAAATATGAAAAATAATTTGGTAGTCATTAGTCAAGCAGCGAGCTAGTGCCAACTTTTTTAATTATGCCAATCTATGAACATAGCCTACCAATCTAAAAGCAATTAACCAAAACTTTCTTATGAACAATTGAATTTAACACATCTAAAAAACAAAGCTTTAACTTACAAAAACCTCAACTTTGCTTAAACCAAAAACCGAAATTTAACCAAACCCCACATAATCAAACATCATTAACTTCCAAAAACCAACGATATTTATAGCAAAAACTAAGAATCAAAGACCAACCCATATTTCATTTCCATGTTCTAAACAATGGGTATTCTTCAAAATTCCTAAAAGGAATAAAAAAAAAATCCTTACCTTTTCAACTTCTCTCTCTTCCCCTTTATCTTCCTCTGGTGAAGAATTTGTAGAACAACAACGATCTTGATCTTGATCAATATTGTTATTATTATTGTTACCGTCACCACAAGTAGCACAAAAGTTAGCTACTGTTGTTGCTGCTGCTGATGCTGCTTTTGGAGATTTCTCAGGCAAAGGGATTGTTTTTCCAAATAATTTGATCGCCGGGTCTTTTGGTTCCGACATTTTCTGCTTCCTTACACTGTTTTCTACCCTGTTTTTTTTTTTCCACAACTTATACAAATCAATATTTTTTTCCTTCTAAATCTTCTGCCAACTCAAGATAAAAACAGAAACTTTCTAGAGAGAGAAAGTTTTGTAAGAAGAAAAAGAGAGAAAAAGAGATCTGACACGTTTGAGTTCTGTGTTCTTTTAATGTTTTTTTTTTGTTTTAAATATTAATTTTTGTTTTTGTTTTAGTTTGTTTTAATGTTTTGCTGTAAGAAAAGAAAAAGAGTGTGTAATCGATGTTGGTCTCGTGGAGTCTACGTTTTTGATCCGTTCAAGCAGGTGGATATGCCACGTCAGCATAAAGGAAAATTCTCAGCCACAAGTTCTTTGTGGCCTTAAAAGATCTTTCTCTTTCCTCTTTTTGATTTTTTTTTTCTTTTTACTTTTTTTTCAATGTCCTAATCAGCACTTACTTTATCTTTTTACCTTCCTTTCACCACCTAAACACTTCTCTTTTATTTCTTTCTCCAAAATAAATTATTACATTAGATTTTTCTGCTATGAATGGCTCCCCTTTATATGTATTTCTTTCCCTAATTTTTTTTTTTAAAGTCAATTAGGTTTCATTAAAGAGAAAAATTTATGTTACTAATTTTGTAACATAAATATTAATAACAATTAATTCTAAAAAAATATATTAATAAATATTAATAAAAAATTATTCGAAACAAATAACTTAAATATAAATATGATATGTTTAATATATAAATATGATTATTATATTAAAAATTAATTTATATCAAATTAACATAATATGACACAACACAATTAATATAATTATATACGAATAATATAATTAAACACAATTAATTACCTAAATAATACGATATGGTATAATATGATTAATACGATTATATATGAATAACACGATTAGATATAATTAATTTATTTATTTAAATAAATATATCATTTAATTTAGTATTTAAATAAATTTATTTAAAATTAATAATTTATAATTTATTGAAACACCAAATAGTATGATAAATGCGATTTTTAATTTGTTTTTTAAATAAATTTAAATAATTTATAAAAACATTTTATGTTATAGATAATATGATATCTTAAGCATGTTATTACTATTTGACATAAATATAATATAAATAATATCATATTTTAATCACATTAATACGATTAAAATATAAAATATAATTATATTAAATTCATAATAATTATTTTATATTATTTTCGTATCATAACACTATATTATATATAAAATTATTAAGTATAGATGCATCCAATAATTTCTCTTTTCTTCCTCAAATTCTCTTAAATATTTTTTTTCAACTATAAAATCTTTCCTTCTTTTTTTCCTTTTTTCTTTCTTTAGGATATTTTTGTGGTGGATATTGTAAGTTGGCCCATTACTCCACTTTCTAGTCCTTTCATATCTTTTTCTAAGGTTCATAAGGTTAGGTTAGTACGTACGATATCTCTTGCTCGTCCATGTGACAGATAACTATGTTTAATACACTAACTTGAAGAATCAATATATTTTTACTTATTAATATATATTTGAAAATTTCAAACTTAGGCATATTAATTAAATGCGGATGAGGTGCTACAAGAATCAAAGCATCATATCATAAAAAATGAAAAAAAAAAAAATCTTACCTTCCACCACTTATGGCCATGGTTGTTTTTAAGCATTTTAAAATTATTAGAATTTTTCATAATTTCTTACCCTATTTTTCATATTCAATAAAAAAATTTTAAATTTAATATTTTTCTAAATTTCAATCCCTAAAATATTTAATTTTTAAGTATTAAAATTAAAAAATTAATATAATTAAAAGCAAATAAATATTTAATTCTTTTTAAATACCGCCTGCATAATAAAATAAAAAAAATTTAACCCTAAAATCCATGTCATTATCTTATTCAAAGCACCACGTGTCGTGGGTCCCAACAACGAATTCTAAGACACATTTTACGCCACATCAGCACATATTCTTAGGTGGACCCTACCTCCATAAAGTAAAGTGAATTAAAAGCCATGGCAACCCATTCGAAAGAAAATCCCTTCTATACTCACACGTGTACACTTTTCACACGTGTGAAAAAATTTTCCTTATTTTATTTATTTTGTAAAAAAAAAAAACTCCAAAAAGAGCAAATGAAGAATCTTGATTCTTGTGGCTGAGCATTTCCCTGTTGGGTAAAAGTATGCTCTGGGTTTGACACGTGTAGCCCGAAAAAAAGCTAGGCATATGTTTTTCTGGCCTTTACTCGTGTGAGATTTTGATTAGGTGAAGCAAATTAGGACTAATAAAAAATTAATTAAAGGCCTTAACACATCACCCAAATAGACCAACTTTTCTAAATCTTTGGTTAGTTGATACGTGGAAAAGAAACATTTTTTTAATTTAAAAAATCAACTTAAATTATGTAAAGTTTTTAATTATATTTTTGTAATCATTGATTTAAATAATTTAAGTAATGAAATAAATAAGTAAAAAAAATTAACAATAAAAAATATAAAATTAAAAATTTACACTAATATAAAATGTTTTTTAAAAAATAATAATTTGACATGGATTTTTATAATATTTATTGATTTTATTTCTTTATTATTTTTCATTTTGTTTCTTGTGCACATAAATGTATTGTTCTTTTAAAAATGGCTTTTTGTGGGCTCTAGTGTCTATATCAACAATGTTTTGTTATCCACTAATGGATGTTTTCATGGATTTGCTAATGGATAAGGCATTTGATAATTTTCCACCCTCTTTTATTTTTTCTTTTGAAAATGAAAGAGATATTAGTAGCCCAAATTTTTCTCATGTATCAGTAATATTTGAGATCAATTTTTAACAAGAGCCCAATTTCTCGTGTATCACCAGTCAACTTGATCATATTTAGGCTTTGGGCCCAAATAGAGAATTACAGTTTCCCAATGGCCATTACTTTTGGACCTTCAAAGTTTCATCTTTCTCTAAAAGGGCCTTAAAGCCCAAATCTGAGGAGTTTGACTTTCAACAGCAGCTTCAACCAGCCCAATTTGAACTCCAAATATAAAAATATATATATATATATATATATTATATTACATCAATTTGAAATTTTAGGACGATAAGAATTGAAAAGAATTGAACTTAGTGATATTTAAGATTATCCGAAATTGAAATTTGATTATTAAAATTAGGAGTTTTATCAATGAACATACGGTCATTAGTAAAGAATTAAATTTTTAGATCTTTTATATTTAGATTTGTTCGAATATTAACTATAGTTTCTAATTTATTCAAACAAGGTAAAGATTTTTAAATAGTTAAATCTCATTAGAGTTTCATATTATATATATATATATATATAAATGTTGTCATAGTTTTATTCTATTTTAGCCGAACATCACTTGAAACATTATGTTCTTATTAATATGAACAATTACAATTTTCTTGCTAATTAAACTCTTAAAAATAATAGATTTAAAAGAATTTAGGTGCGTAATATTTTTAGATGAAATAAGTAAATAGAAATCAAGATTAAAGATAAATTAAAATTTAAAAAAAATTAAAAAAATATAAAAACTTATCTATGAACAAGATAAAAAATATTAATATAGTTTGTTTTTGAAGAAATGGATGGACCATTTTCCATGGTTTCTTCCTTCTTTTAAGTAGCTATATAATTGACTTGTAAAACATGGAGTCCTACGAAGAGACGTTTTGGAAAGTAGATTGTACGATGATGGAAAAACGAATGGAAGCACTTTACAAAGTGTGTTTTATGGTAATTTGATTGAAGCACTTGAAATCTAGGAAAAGGCAATAACGCATTACAAACATTCTTCTTTAGTGGGATAACTTTAGAAGTGGCAGTCAATTTCCTTCCAACAACACTCTTTCCCCTTCAATCTCCACTTTTCCTTCAAAAAAAAAATAAAAAATGGCTAGGAATCAATATCCCAAGTTTCATTTGATGTTAATAATTTTTTCTAACATTTAAAATTTTATTTTTAAAGTATTTCTCACAAAAATTTAATCTTAATTCACAAGAAAAGAAATTTTTTTTTATTGATTAGATTAATTTTCACTTTGAAGAAGAATGGGAGGCATGTGATATTCCCTTCCTTTCAATCTTCAATCATGGTTGGTTAATTAATAATGACCTAATTTTCTTTAGTTAGGCATAAAAGTTTGATCATGGTAATTCTTTTTTCTTGTTAATACAACACATGTGAAATATATTTAGTAATAATCATTGAAATGCTTTTTCAACTAAAATGCTATGGCCGGAATTAAAGGTGACAATCTCCTTTAATTTCTTTAAAATAAGTCATCATAATATAAAAAAAAAAAAATCAAACATCCATGTTGTGTTTTAGATCAAACCCTTGTTTAATTTCTTGAGACTAATTTAAACAAAATTAATTTGTAACATTTTATACTTTAATTAACCATTATTACCATTTTTTTTATAAGATGATTGAGGGCCTAAATTCGGATCCCTCTCATTATTTTCTCAAATATGGCAAAAGAAATTTAAGAAATTTGTTTTTAAGGGAAAGAATCACTATAATTTAATATTGTTCATTTCATCAACTATTGGAAATTTTAGGATGGGAGTTAGATTTGTTGAGTGAAACAATGCACATCTCTCTATCTATCCATAATTTAGGGAAAAAATTAAAAAAATTAAAATTTTATTAAAAAATCGTAATGTACAATTTGGTTTGTTGGTTTGAATATTAAATATTTTAATTTGGTTTAAATTGATTTTCAGATCAAGAAATTAAAACAAAAATAAAAATATTCAAACCAAATTGAATATTTTTAGTAGTTTTTATATAAATGTTAAATTTTATAAAATAATTATTTTATAACTAAATCTATTTAAATATATAAAAAAATAAAAAAATAATTTTCAAAATTTGATAAAACCGAACCGAATTAAACTAATAACATCCAATTTGAATCATTTGATTTAAAAAAAAAAAAAAAAACTCAAATTCGGATCAATTTTAAAAAATTTAAAATATTAAACATTAATCAAAGTAATTTAATCTAATCCATTATCAAAAAATTTAAAATATTAAACATGACACGTCCAATTTACTATTACCTATCTCTTTCTTACTAAACGCCTAGTCTCCATTTCCACCACCAAAACTGAATTACATAGCAAAATATGTCATGTTTGATCTTATGTCTAATTTGCAAAACACATCATGGCATTGGGGTTGAAAATTTTTCTTTCCACACTTTGTGGTTGACTAATAATTGAGATTTGAATTAGGGTTTTGAAAGATGTTAGCGTGTTTTAAAAGTCAATCAAGCTTATCAAAGATTGTGTTGACAAAAGAAAACGTGTTGCCACATTTTCTTTCCTTCATTCATATGACTCTGAAAGCTTAAAAAATGACTCAACCTCTCATTTTCTTTTCACCCAAACACGCAATAATAATGCGCTGGAACTGTTGACATTCTTAGATCAAAAAAGTTTGGCTGTTTGCTTTTGTTTATCCTTCTAAAGAAACTCCATTTGCCAAAGCTTCTCCATCACATTTCTATTTGGAAATATTATTAAATTAATTTTTTTAATTGGCTTAACGTAACTTACATGCAATTTTAAATAATAATTTTTCAAATTAACTTTCTGGCTATTGTCAAACTTTATTGCTCTTGATTAAGCTCTTTTTTGTTCGTTACATAATATATTATTTTGGAAAGTACTTGCTCTCTTTATCAACTTTGAGAAGCAATGTTTTAATATTTGGAGAATTTCCCTTAATGTTTCTAATAATAATAGTAACAATAAGAGAAAGGTACACTTATATTAATATAAAAATTATATATTTTTTATTTTTGGATTAAAATGATTAAGTATAAGAATTATAAATTTAATTCTAACCTAAAAATAAAAAATGTAATTATTACATTAATATAAATTAATTCTTATTCAATAATAATAATATTATTATTATTGTTAATATTATTTTACATTAATTTTTTTGTAAAAAAAGATGCAATCTAGCCATCAAGATTACAATACTGAAATTTGAATAACAATTTTGTTAAATAAGTTTATTAAAAATAATTATATAAAATAATTAAATTAAATATCAAATTTTATTTTGCATTAACTTTGATTAATGTGCATGTGTCACGTGATCATTGTCCTCTCCCTTTAAAATCAACTTATCATGATGTGCAGCGTTAACTTTGTTACATCTCAGTGATCTCCCTTTTATATCCGATATAAGATTGAAATATCCTATTTACTCCCTTCTTAGAATGCTTAGTGTGACATTCTCCCTCACTTAACCGCTTGACATTCTCGTCACAGAGGCTGACCATCCTATCTACCTCTCCTCGAGGTACTTACCGTGGATTAAATGGTTTATAGTCTGTTTTGATATCACTTATCACGTGATCATTACCTTTTTCCCTCAAAATCGACTTATCAGGGTGTGACACATGCATTTGATCAAACATGCATCTGATCAAGTACCGAAACTTTTTTATATTTAGAAGAATTGTCGAAAGCATGAGTATATATGGCAACATATGTAGCACACGTATCATCATTACTATTTTGTGAAGAAAACGTAATTACTTTGGTTTGCTTCTTCTCCGTTACTTTTTCATTAACCGAATTATGATAAGTTGATTGTACCAAAATTAGTAGCATTAAAGTATTTGTAAGAAGTTATCACTAACATAGAGGAAGAAGATTGCCATCTTCAACCAGCCAATCAACCTTAATACTAAAAGGATAATAATGGTTAATTAGAACTCAAAATTCTAAGTTTCAATCTTAATGAAAATTTTTAGTATAAAGTTGATTATCCTTAAAATTAGTTGATATATCATTAAAATTAATACTTAAAAATTATAGGTTCAAGAGATCTTATACATGTGATATGCTTTTTAACTAAATAAGTGGGAGGGTTGAAAAGTTTAAGGATAGATTAAAAATTTTTGTAAAAAATTTTAGTTTAAAATCACAAAAAGGGAGAGAATCGTGTAAAAAAAAGCTAAAAAGTTTTTTTAATAAATTTGGATATTAATTCAAATAATTCATTAATTTTTTTTAAAAAGTGAATTCTTACAAAATGAGGTTTGATCAGCTTGCAAAAAAAAAAATTTTTTTTTTAAATCTTGGTTTCCTTTAAAAAAATTTAATCCAAAAAATAGGAAAAAAAACAAGGATGGTAGACCAAGGCCCATAGAATACCCCACAAAATCATGAACACATGATTGGGAATACTCAAGTCTTCAAAAAAGCGAAGTTGAAGCCCATTGTAATAATAAACAGAAGCCCACAAAAAAAATTTTCCATTTCATTTTTTTTTTTCTTCTTTAAACGTGTCTGACCCTCCTTTTACAACGAAAGCATGACACAGAAACAAGACAGGGCTTATATGTTAACTCAAGAATTTTTGCGATAAAAGAAATAACAACGCCAAAGGTTAAAAAGGACTCTTCCTTTGTTCCCTTTCTCTCTCCTCTCTCTCAATAGCCGGCTTTTGTTAAATTGATTCGATTCCAATTCTTCTTTTGCTCCTTATAATTCAATCTCAAATCTCTATTTGGGATTGAAAGTTTCCATTTTTGTTGTGTTTTTTCAAGGAATTTAATCATCTGGATACTAATTAAATCACCTGATCTTGAGGTGGAAATAATAAATTTGTTTCCTTTTTGAGATTTTATGAGGTGGGTTTGATCTGGATATTGGGTTTGGATTGGAGGAAAACTGATAGAGTTTCAATTTTTCTTGACTGCTTTCTCTTTATTTTTGGATTTAAAATTCTGGGTTTGATTTGAAATGGTCTATTTCCATAGCTCAATCTCAGTCTGCAACTCGGTTGACCAGGCTTCTTCAGCTACAATCATGGCAAATTCTACGAATTCAAATGATTTTGTGATGAACTCCAAATCATCATCATCATCATCATCAAGGAACAATGTTTACAAGAAACAAAAGGTATTCAATTCACCAAGTTGTTTAAAAATTCCTTCTTGTGAGAGATCAAGATCTGCTGCCATTGATGTTATCATCTTAATTGCCGTGATTGCTGCTTGTGGATTCTTGTTCTTTCCAACTATAAAGTGCGTATCTTTGAAATTGATTGAATTCATAGGAGCTGCCTTTTATTTGGTTAAAGAGGAAATTATGAGAGCTCCAATGATATATGGATCTATAGGACTTGGTTTTTCTTGTGCTGCAATAGCTGCTTGGGTTTTGCTTCTGTGCACAACTAGGAAATGCGGGAATCCTAACTGTAAAGGGCTTAGGAAGGCAGCCGAGTTTGATATTCAGTTGGAAACTGAGGAGTGTGTCAAGAACTCCAGCACTTTGGTTAAAGATGGTGTTAAAAAAGGACTTTTTGAACTGCCTCGCGATCATCACAAGGAATTGGAAGCTGAGCTAAAGAAGATGGCACCGGTTAATGGAAGAGCAGTGCTAATATTTCGAGCTAGGTGTGGATGTTCTGTTGGCAGATTGGAGGTTCCGGGGCCAAAGAAGCAAAGAAAGATCAAGAAATAGGATTTTGGGATATGATAGAGAGAGGAATTAAAGCAATACAGAAAATAGTCATAATGCAGAGAGGAGTGCCTTCTCTGGTTAGTTTATCAGAAACTAGGTTGTCTTTAAATAAGCACTGATGGCAATAAGTTGTAAGGATTATAAACAGTTGGTTATAGTGGAGAATATAAGAATCCTTTCTTTCATTTATTTAATCTCTATTTTATGGTAATTTGCATCTTAAAGCTTATGTGTTGGGTTCTTAGTTTTGCAATTTATTTTATGTTGTTATAGTTTCTAGAGCTTTTTTTTAGGTATTAGATTATTATGCATAATCTTGAACTATTGGATTAGCAATGGTGTTGAAATATGAGAAGGGGAAGATTATTAAATGCTTTCTTTTGAGATCTCGGTTGTTAATGTTTAAGGTAACTATTCAACTAAACTTAGTTGAAAGTGCTTGATTCTGCAAAATATCAAGAAGTAGTTGTTTTGGTATACCATATGGTCCATGTTGTTAAATGTTTTTCCTTATGGTAGTCTGTCCTTAACTTTAATCGAGATAAAAAGAGTGATGTATACTTTAGGGCTTAATTACAGGGTTTTTCAAACTCTCTTCATCTGTTTTACTCACAAAAGATGTGTTTATGCTGTTGATGGCAAAAGCCTAAAATGGAAACCGGGTTCTTCATCTATTTTCCTATATATGATCACTTCTCCAATGGTTGCCTCATTTCCAACTGCTGTTTGATAGATCTGAACTCTCTCTGGTAATTCTGGCAAGAATTGAGGATTATTAGACTGTTCTCTTTCTTTCTTTTTTTTTTTTGAATCTCCTTGCTAAAACTTCATGCTATGTTCTTTATCCCTGTTAGGACAACATCTACTGTCTAATTTAACATTTTGTCAATGCCAAGGAATTAGTTTCTCGCACACATGCCAGACTAATTTGATCAGATGCATTCCGTGGCATAGAAACCATAACATTGCCTACATTTTGAGCTTGCTTGTAGTGTTTCACAAATAACAATAACTTGGTCTAGTGATTGAGAGAATTATGGCTCATAAGGTTCCTGAACCAGATATTTCCAGGTTAAATGTCTCTTGCATAGCCCATCTAGTATTATCTGCCAAATCTCCATCTTCATTGTTGTGTAGGTTGGTAGAATATCTTACCATGCCAGTGCAGCAATTTTACTATCCTGGTTGGATATTAACTAATTGATTTCTTGTTCTTTCTCTTATTTGCGCATCTCAATGCATCTTCCATACTTTTAGTTAGTTACATCTCTTATTTTGGACCACCAGTTAAAAAAATTGATTGTTATATTGTTTATATTTTCCTTTTTCCTGTCACTGAAGCTTTTTCTATTACAATAAAAGTGCCTTTCCATTTGTTAAAATAAATTAAAGTGAGAGAGGGGCGAGATGAACAGCATGTGGATATATGGGAAGGGTAATTTCACTTGTCTCCTTTCATTTCTTCCCTTTTTATGGTTCATCAGCAATTTATTACTCTAGTCCAGCTGGTTCTTATCAGTCTAAACAGTGAGCTATGATTTTGGAACCATAATTCAGAAGCAGTATGGGATTTAAAACTCATTTGATCTTTTTCCTAATTTTCTGTCAGCATTACAGTATAAATGGATTTTGCTTTATGTCTTGGTTTAACTATGGTTCGTCTTTATGAGTGTACATATTATGTTTATCTTCACTTTATACCTGGAAGAGAGTTATTAATCAGTGTTAAAGCTGCTAAATTGTGGATAACTGCAAATTAAATTGGTCAAATTGGTATAATGATTTGCAGATCCTATCTGATTTTATCTAGCAAAGATATTACTGAATCAAACAATTTTGATGGATTAGCACAGTCCAAGTGTGCTTTTTTTTTTTTCTTCTGGACTATCATATGGCAATATGATGCATGGCCTGGATTGATGCAAAAATTAAGGCTTAAATGACCTGAGTTGAGCTGTCATGAGTAACAACACCAGAAATCTCTTATGGGTTAGCCTTGGTAAATTCCATGTTAGTTCTGTTTGTACATTACAAACAACAATGGAATTTCTTGTGCCTGCTTAAATGATTTAGAAAATACTTTTGCAAGCAATTCTTTATCTCATACAGTAGGGGAGATACAGAAGTGAATGAAAATTTGAAGCTTTATCTTTATATTGAATCACCCAAATGCAATGTGCTTCATAAACATTATTTTTCTTTGTTTTAAAGCGTCTCTATTGAACAGAGGTTGCCGTAGGCTAGTGAAGCAGACAGAGCAGAGTAAATCCTTGAATCTTCTAAGTCGGAAACACGAATTTGGATGCGTATTTCTTAATGCTTCCTTCTTGAGTTCCATTGTTCATTCTGCTTTCAAATCTTACACTCTTTCTAGCATCCTGTTTAGCATCGGAATGACTCCAGATCTCTCTGTATTCATTTAACATAGGCATTGCTAAAAGTTACTCAAATCGGTGAAGGATAGACAGAATTGGAATTGCCATTTTGATAGATTTAAGTGCTCCTCCTACAATTTTTATGGAGTTCCAGAGGCTGGGAATCTATGGTAAATGGTAATGTTACAAGTATTCTGCTTATGCAAGGTCCATTCAGACAATTGACATGTTAACTATGGCAATCCTTATGAATTGTTAAAAGGAAGTTTTTCTCTCTCCCGAATTCGTTGATCATTGTAAGAACTCTTATGTTTAGATAAGATTCTGTTAGTGTTTGTTCCATGCCTCATTCACCTTGCGATTCGGGGGCAGATGCCTAGGATCAGATTAGAAGTGGTGGTCAAGGAATTGTACAAGATGTATACTAGCTCTTGTAACGGCTAGAGCACGATTTGTGACAAGGACTTGCATTTTCAATGGCTGTTGTGCTTAGTAGGGATGTAAACAAGTTAAAACTCTACGTGAGCTATTCAGCTTCGATACGAAAAAAATTTAAACTCAACTTGTTTATTATCGAGTTGATTTTGAGTTAATTGAATAACGAATTGAGTCGAATTTGAGTAATTTAATATCATATTAGAAAGACTTATGAACTTAATCAAATTTTTATTTTTATAATATATTTAATATATATATAAATAAATGATAAAATTATAATGTTTAATGTCAATATTTAAATTTTTTGAGTTAAGTTTGAGCTATTCAATTAAATCATGAGTAAGTTTTAACCTGAAAAATGAAACTCAATTGAGTTTCGAGTTTTCAAGTCAAAGCCCAGCGCGAACCTAGCAGTGTTGGACCCGATTTACACCCCTAGTGCTTAGTCTATCCCTTTGGTAGGTTTTCGGTTGCTTCACTTTCAGACTGGTAGAACAAGAATAAAGAATGATGCTGAAGGAAAATTACAGACAAGCCCTAACCTAAGCTGTTTCTAATCTTGCATTTCCCTGCCAAAATCAAAGGTTTCGCCCTTAGAATTAGGCAAATGGATGAAATCCCAGGTTTAAAGTTGCTTGTTTTGAAGTTACCACCCAACTCTTGCAACCAAAAATTAGGATTTTGGTTTCCTCTCAGTTGGGAGAATCATTTATTTGCGTGTCATAAAGTGATGGCTCTTCATATATTGAAATCAGCACTAATGGAACAAAAAGGGACTCGGTTGCAACATCAATCATAGAGCATAAATTCCGAGTTATTGGAGGATCAAAAATTTTAAAACATGGTTGACATCAGCAGCAGTACCTGAATGATTCCATAGTAATCAATAAACTTGTCATCACAATTCGTATGTACGATCGAAACTTGTCATCACCATTATAACATAGTCATGTTTTCCATTAATGCCTAGCCGGCCGCCATGAGATTTTGGCCACAGTTTTTGCCCGATAAAAACAATAAAGGGGCCATGTTCATTTTTTTTCCTTTTATCCTTCAGCTAGAAGGACGGGAGACGATGGTGATTGCTTACCAAACAATGCAACTTGCCCAAAGTCATAGTCCAGTTCTGGTTAGAAAAGCTAAACAAATAAACTTTTGTTTAGTGGCTCACGTTTCTTTCCGACATAAACCAACCCAAAATACTAGCTGCCGATGAAATTCGTCACTAAAACTATATATGTTCGGTAAATTAAGAAGGAAAAAGTAAAGGATATTAAAGGGAAGAAATTAATTTCTTTCTTCATCATGATCAATATAGGAGATTAAAAATGGAAGAAAATTAAAAATTGGCTACTAAATTACAAATTAAGTGATTAATTTAGTTGAATAAGCTTCTTTAAAATTTCTTTCCATTCTTAAGAGAAAGTAGAAATTTTCCTTTTATTTTTTTCTCTTTTGCCAAGTATGACGTAAAACTGTAATAATTTTCATAAAAAATTAGGCTTTGCTGCTTAGAAAAGAAATTAAAAAAGTTAAAATAAAAAATTAGTAATTTAAAAATTAAATTATAAATAAAAAATAATTATAAACTTTAATTATTAAATTAATAAATCAACATCATAAAATCGTAAAAACTCTTCCATCAGGTGACCATCACGTGGTAGTAGGAAAATCCATCACGTGATAGGAGGAAAATCTTTGAGTAGCGTTTTACGACTGAAACTCAAAACAACATTATCAAATAAAAATCCCTTCCATGGTGCTGTCAAAGTAAGCCTTAAAAAACCTGTAATGGTTAAAAAAAGGCACACTAATAAATAAAAAATAATTAAATTCCCTTTGATATTTATACACTTGAGTCCCCTTCGGGGGGTAATAATGAAAAAAAAACGTTTTTTTTTCTAAAAAAGAAAAAGAAAAACTGATTTGTTTCAGTAGCGATCCATGCCTTGACGCCCACTAGTCTGCTCCGACCCCCTACCCGAGCCCAACATAGACATCAAACTAGCCAAAGATAAAAACGATTCTACAAATCTTAAAGCAATCTCGCCACCTTCCAAATTTCCCAAACCATCGTCACCGCCAATGCCACCGCCTCCACTTTCCGCCTCCTCAGAGGGCATCAAAAACCGGCAAACCGGGCATGACCCGTGGATCTGCAGCCACTTCTCTACACAACCCGAATGAAACAGGTGTTTGCATGGCATCTCCCTAGCTTCTTCATCAACTTTAAACTCTTCCAAACAAATAGAACAATCGTTGCCAGTCCCTTTAACTTTTATCCTCGGCATGGCTTCAATGGAAGCCTTCGAAGCTGGGGCAGGCCCGGGTTTATTGTACTCACCGACTCCGCCGCCACCAAGGGGTATTACGACGTAGAGGACCGGACGAGGAATTTGGGTTTGGGTAGGAGTATCCGCCATGTGAATGTAGGGCAATTGAAAGAACAAAAACGATTAAAATTGGAAGAACAAAAAAGATTAAAAAGTTTAATATGAAATATACATTATGCAAGAGAAGATTTTTATATAGGAATTAATGGAGCCGGTAAGTTCGGGAAGAATGTAGATTCGAGGGAGGATGTTGATATGTCGTGCGAGATTGGAACATTAAAAGGCTGCTAGAAATTGGCTGTTTCATCCGAAAATAGCGCGGAAAACGGGGAAGTTCGGTGACGTGGCAAAGAAGATGACACGTAAGATTTGCATGGAAACTAAAAGAAAGTCAACTTACAGCTCTAATGGGCCCCACCCCTACCCTGGGTATTTTTTTTTCAATATAAACCTATTGTGGAATTAAAAACAAAAAGAAATTCAACTTGTGACTATTTTGATGATAATGGTTATGATATTTTCATTTATCTATACTATACACCAACTTAATTAAACAAAACATATAAAAATTAGATTATAAAATTAATGATATATATATTAATAGGATCATATTAATAATTTAATTTTAAAGAAGTAAGAAAAAAACCTCTTTTTTTGCTTTATTTTAAAATCAATATGTGTATTTATTTCATTTTTTAATATTTCAAGATACTTATGTATTATATTTTATTTTACTATTTATTTTAATTATCATATTATATATATTTTGAGACAAGACCCACTTATATTAATATAAGTGTTACATTTTTTTTTATCTTTGAATCAAAATGAGTAATTTTAAAACTTGTTGACTTACTGTTAAAAAAAAATGTGACACATAAATATAATTAAGTACATAATTATTTATATATTTCATCCATATAATAGGTGTGCACGAGACATACTTTGAGTAATTGTGATATTTAATTAGTATCACATCATGTTCTATGATTATTAATTTTTAAGGTTTTGTGATTATTAAATTTGAAGGATTTGAGATTACATATAATTATTAGTTGTATGATTGTAAGAAATTTAAGTAAATTTATTTATTTTGATTCATATGATCATAATGGGTTTCTTAAATGATACTAAAAAAATTACTATATCATGATATTGGAAGGGTCAAATAATAAGTTAATAATAAATTAATTAAAAATAAGTTAATAATAAATTAAATTAAATTAAAAATGGTTAAAAAGGTGAAAATAATAATGCCAAAACAATAATTTTAAGGTTTCCAAACATTCAATGAAGTGGCCAAAAATTCAAAGGATTTGACATTCCTAAATACCAACACCTTTTATCACCACAAATAGCTTGTTTTCTTCCCCCTCGAAAGGAAAAAAAAAATGTAAAAGAAGTTGTTAAAAGCAACAACATGCTTTTATAAGCTCTAAGTTTGCTTACCAAATTCTCCCTTTTTGATTAAAAAAATTATAAAATTGGGTAAAAAATTTTTAATTGCAAATATGTACAATCTTGAAGTTCTTTAACTTGCATTCAAGTTTCGATACGGCAAGTATAGTATCATTTTTCTTGTGTTGAATTAGAATTGTCATCGGGTGAGACAGATTTTGCTTATTCCGAATTCGATTTAATTTTATGTGTTATTAAATTTAAATTTGATTTTATCCAAAATTTTTTTTATTTTTTAATATCTAAATCTGATCTTGACCCAATATTATATAAACTGTACTCGATCCGACCTGAAATTAATAAAATATTATTTTTTAAATATAAATATTTAAAAATATCATTATATAAATATATATAAATAAAAAAATTAAATAATTAATTAAAAAATAATTTTTTATATAATATCGGATCATATTTGTTTAAAACCTGAATCCAATCTAACCTGAAACCTGAATTTCAAAAAAAAAAATCAATCCCATAAGGTTGAATCAAGTCGAAACTCGTCGGGACGGATTAGCTTATCAACCCTATGCTGGATGAGACATTTTAAGTAGATGTTATTTTTAATCCGCTAATAATTTTTTTTAATTATTAGATGATATAATTTTTTATTTGATATTATTATAAATTAAATTTTAATTATTAAAATAAAATTTTTAATATTTTATCAACCGATTACACGAAATGATATAATTCTTGTTTAACTTGAATTTGATATTTCTATTTTGAAAGTTAAACAAGAAAGAGGAGAAAGCAAGGTATGCAAGTAAAGTACCTTCTAAACTACTCCATTCTTTTTTCAAAAGTGGAACTTCCCCTTTTCTTTTTCAATTAAAAAAAAACTAAGAGTATTTAATTTGTAACATTATTCATGCATCCTAATAGAGGTAAATAGTTAAAATTAGATAAATTTTTAATATATTAATAAAGTTAAATTTTTTTTATTAAATCTTAATATCTATTATTTTTATTTTAGATTATGAATTTTAAAAATAAAAAATTAAGTAAATGATTAATTATAACATAAAAAAATTATTGAAGCTGTTTCAAAAAGGTGAGTGACACTTGAATAAAAATATTAAATTAGGATCATTCAAATTCTAATACATTTTTTTATAAAAATAAAAAATTGAAAAAAAAAAAAGCTAAGCATGTTGATAAACAAGCAGCATCAAAATAGTTCTAGTTACACATAATTGGTAGTTACAAATTAGTGGCATATATTTTTCCCTTTTTTTGAAATGATATATATATATAAATATATAAATTTTAATTCTACTAATTTTTTTCTTTTTTTTTTTTTGAAATGTACTATTTTATTTTCTTGGTAACAAGAATATTTTATGGATGTAAATTAATTGCCTAACTAGGTTAGATTTATAGTCGCATGCTTTAAAAAGATGACACCACTTTGGAGCTTGCTTGCAGCCTAAAAAGTTTGGGTATGTTAGATCATGTCAAAAAATAAAAAATAAAAAATATTATTTCATTTTTTTATAAAAAATTTAATTTTTTAATTATAATTAAAATCCGAATTCAAAGTCCCAAAAAAAATCTTTACTTTATTTCATCATATCAACTAAATTTTTTTATTTATATCCTCTAATAAATTAATATAATTAGATGATAATTTAAAATAAAATAAAATAATATAATATGAAAATGATACTATAATGATATGTGTTAAAATTTTAATAAAAATATATATGAGTTTAATAATATTAAAAATATATTTTATATTTTTTGTATAAATTTAAATTATAATATATAATTTTCATATAAAATATGATAAAAGTAAATGAATTATTAATATTTTATACATGCATATTCGAATTTATAAGTTTAAAACATGAATTTATAAGTTCAAAAAATCAAAGTGGAGAAACTTATTAGTAAATTAATTTTATTTATTTATTTAAAATTTATTTAAAAATAAAAATAAATTAATATCACATATTAAAAAGGGTCAGGAGGTGGGTAATAAAAGAGAGTAAGATACAGAATATTCGCTGCGTCGCATGCTATTCCAATACCCGGTTCACCTCAACCGGAAGTAAGATCAAGTTAAATCCTCTGTTAGTTTCACCGAAAAGCCAGTGTTTCCGTTTTCCTTACCTTTCTTTTTCTTTCTCTTTCTCTGAAAAACAAAATCTAAAGGAAAAACTAATTAAAAAAATCTGATTTTGGTAAAACATAGAGAAAGAGAGGATACTGTAACTTTAAAACGACGCCGGAAAAGTGAAGATTCCATTTTTTTTTTTTAATTTGTGGGGTTCTCTTTGAAACTCACCAGAAAATAACAAAAGAAAACCCGACTCGCCGGAGCTCCAAAAACGTTTGAGAATCCGATGGACTCTTGGGGTCCGAATCGGTTTGATATCTTCGAGATTTACAGCCAATTCAGTGGTAATTTTTTTTTTTCACGTTTCTTTGTTTGTGCTTGAGATTTTACTTCTTTATTCCTTCCATTAAAAAAAAAAATTTAAACGTTTTGGGTTGATTTACCAAAGGAGAGTTTGAAACACTTTACATTTTAGGTTAATTTTTGGGTTAAAAATATTGGAAATTGGATTAGGGTTTTTGGGTTTGCTTTGTTGTTTAATAATTGTGGGGGAAGAGAGTTGAAATTTTTTTTTTAGTTCACATTTTAGTTGAATTGAAATTTAATTATGGAAAAGAAATTAATGTAAATTTTTTGGCCGAAATGGAAAAAAAAATAATGTAATTGGGCACCTAAAAAAAGTTAATAAAAAAGAAGAAAATATGGCTAATATAATTTGATTTGGTTGAAGAATTGGTTAAAAATAAAATATTCAAAATTTTGTTTTTTTTTTTCTCTGATATGCTTGAATTTTTAGCGGTTCAACTTTTCTGGATTTTTGTGCTGCGATTGGGATGTTATTATTATTATTCTTTAAATTTATCCGTTGGGTGATTTTTTGGGGAGGGTTCGAGGTCGACAAGGGTTGTTGCTGTCATTTAGTTAACTTTTGAACTGTCTTGCAGAACTTAGAACAGGAAAAGCATATGGTTGTGGTGAAGAAGGCTACCGACAAGATGATGAATCACAAAGAGCTAAGTTCTCGAGGGACGCATTGAATCAGCTCTTAAAGATAGTGGAATTAAGGATGCACACAAGGTAATACACATAATCAATAATCTGTACATAAATGTTTATTAAGTTTGATTTGGCCCTAGGAATATAAGTGAATTGGTTTCATATAGAAGTTTATCATTCTTGACAGTACTTGTCTAATAGATTTGAATTAGCTGCAACTTTTGGAATCTGCCAATCCCGTTTTATGGTTGAATTTTGAAGTCTCCAGCTTGATCCTGAGTTAAATTGCTTGAGTTCCAATTGTCCTCCTAGACCATGTTATACATTCTACATGTGTGTAGGCTACTGCTATATCATTTATGATTATGTGTAAACCGGTGAAAAATTTAATCTAATGTTTGAGTGAAAAATATATTATGGCTGATTACATTCTCAAAGGGAGGTGAATGGCAGAAAAAGATTCTGTAGCTAGTCTTTTTTTTAATTGTTATTTGGTTTCATAATTCAGTTGCAAACTAGTGATTGTTGCATTTATTCAATATTTTTATGTTCCTTTGACAGGACTGCAATCTTTGATGAACTTCTCAAGCTCATGTTACAACTAGACTTGATGGTGAGATTCCTCTTTGCTGAAGTTCTTTGAGGGGCAGACTTTAACTATAATTTAGACTTTAGTAGGGAGTATCAATACATTCTTCATTTTTGGTACGTGGATTTTATGTTGTGATAACATGATTCCCATACTGACATTTTATTTGTTGATGTTTCTTGTAGGTGGATTATTCTGAATTCTCATGTTTCTATGATTTTGTTTTCTTCATATGCCGAGAAAATGGTCAAAAGAATATTAGTAAGTTATCTCATACTTTTTAGCTAAATGCAAATGCTTTTACTGATTTATCCTTGGAATATATATTGAAGATAACTAAGCTATAAATTACGAGGAATTTCTTTGGTCTTGTGTTTAAATCTCTTTCTTTTTTTCGCATGATTGATAGCTGTAAGCAGGGCAGGTGCTGCATGGAGATTAGTCTTAGCTGGCAGGTTTCGATTGCTTAACCAATGGTGCGAATTTGTTGAGGTATGAGTGTGAATAATACGAAGCTGCTAACACTTTATGTTCATCTCAGAGGCATCGTGTGAAACTCTTGTTTGTGTTCTAGCATCTAAGACCACTTTGATTTTGCATCAAACTTTCATTAGAATTGTGATATTGGTTGTTACCAGGTACATGCTAAATGACTATTATTACCGTAATAGGTAGCAGATATTATCTATTATCCAGTGCTTCATTTTATCATAAAGGGAGTCACTTGTCTGCTGCTCCAGTTTCAATTGTTAGTGGGCAAGAATTGTCCTTAATTTTTTAGTTTAGTTGCCTTATATGCACCTTTGAAAATCCTCTGCATGCCAAGTATGTGAATATGGATGATGGTCATCTGTTGGGCTGTACATGTGTTCTGTTACTGCACTATTAGTTCAAGTTGAAAGGGCACCTGCTAATGACCTACTGTAATTCTCCTGATTAAGGCAACTAATGTTTTTTATTTCCTTTTAGAAAAATCAACGACACAATATTTCCGAGGACACTTGGCAGCAAGTTTTAGCTTTTAGTAGGTGTGTACATGAAAATCTGGAAGGATATGATCCTGAAGGTATTAAGTTTCCCTAAATCTGTCCTATGGACTCTCATGTATTTCTGTCATGTGAATCTTAGTTGTGTGGTTATTTTGCAGGTGCTTGGCCTGTTCTGATTGATGACTTTGTTGAGCATATGTACAGGTTTGGTTTCTCTATCTTCATCACTTTACATGATCTGGAAAATTTTTTGTGGCTATTTCTTGATTAATTTTACTTTAGGCTACAATATGAAATTCTTATTGGAATCTTTTTAGTCTTTTGTCATATCATCCTTCTACTTATTATCTTTTCCTTTCTGTATTTGCTGAACAACTCTTATATGATCACTTGGTCATTTATTTTTGTATTGACCATAATCGTGCCTTGTGTTATTCATTTGTTCATGATCCTGATCTTCCAGAATGTTTTAATAAGAATAATGTTAGTTTATTCACACTATGCATAGATGTCTTAGACCCCTCTGTTTTCCCTTATTTCTTCCCATTGCAGAATTTCGGGGTCCAATAACGATACAATTGTTTTCTGTAGCTGTGGTGATCCAGAGTCCCAGTTGTGTGCATATGAGGACGCTTTGCCTGGTATGTATATTAGTTTTCACCTTCACCTTTAGATAAGTTTCCTACTTATATGGACTGAAATAGATGATGCTATTATAACAATATCATGTGGCAGGATTAAGACTATTTCCCGGATTGAAGAGGAAGTTGCCTCTATGTCATGACGGCAAAAAGCAGCACTCAGAATCATTCTTCTCAAACTCTCTAGACCTGGATTGCACATTGAATTCTAAGAGAAGTAGGTTGATTGGGCACAGATCAGTTAATAGGGAAGATAATCCTACCCATAATTCATCTGATGACTGCATGGAAATTGTTAGACACAGTAGTCCAATGGGTTCTTCCAAGTCTCCATGTGCAGTTGAAGGTTGCCTGTCTAAGGGTTTTGCAGGGCTCTTATCAAGTTGCTCGTATTTTGCAGTTTGATCGGGAAAGAAGAATTTCCCATACATAGAGCTCCCACCGGAGTTACGATTATAGAAAAATATATCCTTTGCAAGTCTATGATTTAGATATATATTCATATGTTGGCTTGGGGCATTATATAACAGTGTGCCTACATTTTCTGATGATTTTGTGGGTTAATTTTCTAATTTTCTCTTTGGACATATGTGGAGTGTTGTCATTGGTTTGTTGATGCATGTCATATTCCTGTTCTGTTGCAATCCAGAAATTAATAAAAGAATATGAGATTTGCTTTATCCCTTCAGTTTCTTTTTCTTTTCAATGTTGAGATTGTTGCCAAAGAATGCACGGATGTCCCATTTGTTCTGCTATGTTAAAACAGGTAAAAGAAAAAAGAAATTAAAATGAAGAGGAAGTCGATGGAAAGTAGAATTGAAAGGTTGGAAATATGTATTTGTTATTTATCTCTTCCATTGCAACACAATGTTCAGGCAAACCAAAGAGTGTTTGCTTGGGGCCCGCAATGGCATTTGGCAATGTGTTGAAGAAAATAATCAAAGGCTTGGTGCTTTGTTTTCCTCCAAGTCACAGCCACCAGGGGCTGCAATTACTTCAAAACAGGATTTCCGCAAAGTCGACCAACTCAACTAGTGATAGAAGGTCAAAATCATGGACAGCTCATTGAGAACAAACAGCTCACCATTGGTATTTGGCAGCAACAAGGACCTCCTCATACTTCTGAGCAGCATTGTCCCAGCTGAGGTCTTGCATCATGCCCCGTCTTTGGAGTCCTTCCCAACTCTCTTTATACTGGCGATAAGTCAATAAGCAGTTCCCTAATGCATGTATCAACTTATTTGCATCAGCACTGTCAAATGTCCAACCAAGCCCTGACTCTTCATATGGATTGAAAGGCTGCACAGTTTCCCTCAATCCACCAACAGCATGGACAACTGGAATTGTTCCATAGCTCATGGCATACAGTTGGTTCAGTCCACATGGTTCAAATCTTGATGGCATGAGTAAAATATCAGCCCCGGCCGTTATACGATGAGCTGTCTTTACAGAAAACCCAACCCATCCCCTGACTTTGTCATGATGTTGGTTTTCAAACTGCCTAAGCATCTGTTCTAGGTCAGACCTGCCAGTGCCTAACATGACTAATTGCACATCCTGGCCCATCATCCAGGGAATTGCCTCAGCAATTAGATCAACACCTTTTTGCTGATCCAGTCTCCCAATAAAACCAACCAGCGGGACATCTTCACGAACGGGCAGCCCAAGCTCCTTTTGCAAGGCTGCCTTGCACTGAGCCTTGCCGGTTTTTAGTGTTTCTAGGGAATAGTTAATATAACCATCTGATTCGAGGTGAACATCATACTGTGGATTCCAGTCCTTCGTATCAATTCCATTCACTATTCCCCGCAATTTCCAGTCACTTTCATTTATAATCCCATGCAATCCCCAACCACCTTCTGAAGTTTTAAGCTCCCAAGCATATCCATGGCTAACAGTGACCACTCTGTCAGCGGCCTTTAGTCCTGCTGCAAAGATATTGAAGTGCTCACCTCCAACGGGGTCATATAACTTGAAAAGGTCCATGTAGTGTTCTGCTACATCCACATAGTAGAAATCCTCCACAGGCCCCCGACCCTGAAAAAAATTTATCAGTTAGAATAGGCTATGGAGAAATTCAAATAATTAATCTCTGAAAGCAGTTCAGATAATAGCATCCAAAATTTCTTTTCCAAGTGATGTCCGAAAGTTTAAAGCAGAATTACATTGTTGACTTGGACATTTTAAGAACAGAAAAACTAAATTATGTTTTACCTAAGCAAATATTTGTGGATTCTCATTCTCCAATCTCTCTTTTTTGGGAGATTAAATCATGCACTGAGATGCAACAAACCGGCAAATACATTATATTTGTCCATGGTTATCATTGATATAAACTAAATTTCAAGAGAGAATTGTGGATAAGGCATTTACAGTAATTCATGATTTGGGGAAAGTTCTATGCATTCTCTTTTGTTTAAGTAGGCAATAAAAAATAACAAATTGATTTTACATAAAATTCTATCTGTGTGCAAAAACAAAACAAAGAATTGAGATGAAATGTAAATACACTTGGACATGAGTTATCTGTTTCAATTAAGTACAGAGCAAAAATATCAATGACCTGATTCCTTTTTCACTATAAAAGATCACATCAAGTGAATTATCATGGCGGAAGACAAACCTGGTGAGCAATATTATGGATAACGAGAATGGATCTAGTGAAGGACATCAAACCATTGTCTCGATAATAAGCTTTTAAGTACACTGGCAACAAGGCAGTATGCCAATCATTAGCAATGAAAACCAGATTTCCATCTCCATAGCAGACGCCCCCACATGGAACATGCCAAGGAACCTGAAAAAACCAAATTCTTCATTTTATGACGCTAATAATATAATCAATTATATTCAACCAAAAATGAAGGTATGCTAGAAAAGAAGAAAATGGCCTCAAGAAGACTTTTAAGGTTTACCAAGAATAATATAATTAAGACCATTTTAGCATAGGAAGTAAGAAGCGTCATTTTGTTTTCCAAGGAATATCCATCTACTATATGTTTCTATCACTAGAGCCTTACAAACAACTCTTAACATATGAAATAAAGCAATAAGAGACCAGCCATTTGGGCCATAGAAATGAGACTTATGAATAATTCTGGTGTAAAGCAAACCTATATATTTTGGCAATTGTTTCTAGAAAATGCCGATGTCAAGATCAATAGATGAACTCCACATTACATTCACCACGGTTTACCTTAATGAGAAGAATCTAGAGGCTAGTTAAAACCTGACACAATCAAAAAGACCCACCTTGTAATTAATCATTTTATTTAAACTTCCACATTGAGTATGTAATGCTGTAACATTAAATTACTTTTCCAATCAACCATCAGCTTTGATCTATCAATTTTCCCAATCATATGTATATCCTATCAGGTTACAGGAAATGACTGGCAGATATGTCTAATGACATGAAGTAGGAATTACAGAAATTACCAAACTGAAAATGCATAAGTCAATTTCTACATATTTTAAGGCAATTTAGAAATTGTACCTGAACAGCTGCCTTGCAAAACAATACCATGCGCTTCAAAATATCCTGCACCAGAAGACCAAAGGCAATGTAACATTCAAAATGCTAACTATGGTAATCCAAGAAAATCTATCGAGTTTATTGCATCTCCTAATTGGAAAGGTTACTTCTGTTTTAATACAAAATACAGATTGCAAACATATACATATTGCAAACATACTGTTTCAAACTAATGTGCAGCAACCATTACATGCTTGTAGCACTGCAACCACTCAATCACACAAAGAAATTACAAGATTTTTAGAAAATTTATAGTGAGTTAAAATCACCCTTAGATTAACATTAAAATTAAGCCATTGATGGACAAATTACTCTCTTTTCCTTTTCTCTCAGGTTTGTTATAGATTTGGCATGTTAACGTAGCACGTGTATTCTTAAATCAAACTAAATTAAGACCTCCTCATTATGATAATGACCATCCGAATTATTAACCAATCATAACAAAACCACAAGAAAACATATCCTACCAGTCGGTTTCCTCCGTATATATTACTCTGCATATGGCGAAACATAGGAGCATCCATGAAAACAAAATCCACACCATCAATATATGCTTGGAAGTATGATACTTCCATATCCTGCAAATAACGTATCGTCAAGATTATGCTGTGGAATTAGCCTATTTGTTTAACAATCAAATGCTAAGTAACTTATAATAATATGCAATAGCTCTGTCATACCTGACCATCCACCTTATACTTCTTTCGAACTCCTGTATCTTGAGGTTCAGCATAATCAGTATATCGAGGTGCCAGAACCTAAGCAAAAAAGAAAGGAATTTCCTAATGAAACCATCTAAAGTGTCACAGGCATCTGTAGGGTCATTTTTGGGACTAAAAATAAAGCAAATGTTGGGTGCTAAACTCAAACTGTTCATAAACTTACAGAGTAAAAGAGTGGTCACAGGAGCAACTAGACAAAAAAATAGATAAAAAATATAAAGGTTCAACTAAACTAAGACTAAGATTTAAAATGATTTGTTTCATTTAATGAGGCCTCTTGGACATAAAATAGAGTATAATTTATATATAGCAATGCTAAGATACTCAATTAACATAAAAAGCAGAAAAAATATTACCATAACCCTGTGTCCACGTCTAGCCAAAGCCTTTGGTAAAGACCCGGCTACATCTCCAAGCCCACCTATAATAAGACTACATCAGTCTCCAAGTTTTATACAAAAGAAGTTATATGCCATCTGTCTATCAAGAAAAGAAAAGAAAGAGAGGCTGTCATCTCAGGTTATCTATCAATGGTAAACTACCTGTTTTAGACCATGGGGCACATTCTGCAGCTACTAATATAATATTCATGACATTTGCACCAGCTAGTGGAGGGGGTTTTTCACCTTCAATTGCAGGATCAACTACCTCACCAGCCTCTTCCAAGCCTGCTTTGGTCAAATTTTCATTCTCTTCAGCTGTAAGTTGGGCAGTCTCCAAGGAACTTGAGAGATAAGAAGGAAGCACATCAGATTTCAATGCTTTAGAATCAGTGGTTTTAAACTGTTTGGTAGAACCTACATTAGAGGAAGCCTCTTCTGAAGGCAAATGTAGTTCAGGTTCCTCTCTAATTACATCTGAAGGTAGGATCTCTGTTATGTCCTTCATAGTTGAATTAACATGACTGCTTGAAAGAATGCTACCATTTTTGCCTTCATCCATTCTGTCAGAGCTCCTTGAAGCAAGCTCCAGAATGGGAAGATAGTTATCCCTCCGTTCATGAAAATCCTCATCTTCATTTTGGTCAGTAATGCTACCTCTTATGGATGAAACCAATTTCCTTCTTTCAGCAATCTGCCATCAGAAAATCAATAACTCCATGAATGAAAACAGCAAGATAAAGCAATTGTAGCTCCTGAAAGATAAGATTTGACTAATAAAAGAATGGACATCACAAACTTCCTCTTTCATAAAGCAGGTTAATTTTAACATAATTGTATGTGTTAAAAGGTTTTAGTTACCAAAATTTCCACCATGGTAGCAACATGAAGTTCAGAGTTCAAAATACTGAGTGAACCAAGAAATAGATCCATAGTTAGTAACTAAAATAAGAATACCGCTGAACCTTCATTCCTGTCATTGAACTAAAATATACCCAATAGGCACCAAGTAACAAAAATACCAAATGCTTGCTAAAATAATAACTATTCAAGTAACGTAACACTTCCATACTAGTAATTCTAAGAAGTTCACCGCTGGAAAAACAGATACTTATTCTGCAATGACATAACTGGTTTGAGAAAATAGATGTTCCGGAGACTACATATGAGTGCAATTCCCTTTATGAATGTAACTTTGCAAACCTAAAAGGTGTAAAGTGAAAATTAGATTTCAGATGGCAAGAAACTAGTCCACAAAGGAACTTCATCAGCAATGTGATTCCAATGGGATCCACTCTCCTCTGTTACAGTCTGGAACTAAAAACGCAAGAATGTTCTTATATACTCCATGAAAGCTACAAAGATTACTGGCTATTACTGAGCATCTATTTCTTGCTTATTGATTCAATGGAGTTTCGTTGCAAGTTAGTTATAGAATTTAAAAGTTGCTAATTTCAGAAAGATTCATAGCCACAATTTCCTTATCCCATTTTTCTTAATCTTTATTTGCTGCAAACTATAACACTTACAAAGTTCACATTCAATAAGGTAACAAAGAAACAATCAAAACCCAGAAAATAAAACAATTATATATTAAAAACAAATTTTCAATCCAATAAATTTATATTCCAAAAGAAACATTTTCACTGAAAACTATAACCATTACAATCCAAAACCAAATTCTGATCCAAAACAAAAACTACGACAAAAAAATACCTGCCGAAATAGGTCTCTTTGCATGGCAAGAACCTTCTTGCTCTTCTCAATTGCAGCCTGAAGTGTATCCTCCTCAGCAGCGCCACCTACACCATCGACAGAACCAGCTACTCTGACAGGCTTAAACCTCCAAAGCTGCCCTTTATTATAGAACAAAGAAAGCCCACATGTTGAACCTTTCAAAACAGCCAAACTTTTAATATTTCTTGGCCTAAAAGTTGAGAAAGTGAAAACAGGTCTACTTTCTCCTTGTCTTTCAATGAGAAAAGGTGAAGAACCACCAATGGAAGCCATTTCCCAGAGCTAGAAACTATGTCTCAAATTAAACCAAAAAGATCAAGAAAATGTTTTTTCTTTTTAGCAATTACAAGATAATTTGGGAAATGGGAATGATCCAAAAGCAAAAGATCAAGAAAAAAGTTTCTTGCTTTAGCAAAAAGGGGAAAAGCTTTGACTGAAAGAATGGGAATAAGAATCCAATTGAGGAAATCGGGATTGGAGAACAGGAAACAGAAGAAAATGATGAACGGCAAATTATAGAGTAGAAAGGTATAGTTTCTTACGACAGAAAATGATGGGAAAACCATGGAAAGATAAGGAAAATAAGTGTGGAGAGATGCTTTTAACGTGGATCTCGAAAAATGGGAAATCATAGAGGTCTGCGGCGCTTTTGAGGTTCAAATTGGCTGACACATTAGGAACAGAACTGGTAACTAGAGATCTTGTCTTGGTTGGATAGCCAAAAAATAAAAAAAGGGTTGGGCCTTGGGCTTTATAAGAGTTTTTATTTATTTATACTTTTTGGGGATGGCTTTTGGTTAAGTGATAGCTGCAGTACAGATTAGAATTTTATCTTATTACAACAGATTAAGTAGATTTAGGATCTTGGTTTTCTCCATCTGCTTTTTTTTTCCCCAAAATTAACTTGAAAAGTATCAAGCTAGAGGAGTTTAATGAACAAAGATTCTGAAGCAAATTGCAGCTAGATTACATCCAAAGCCACCTGCAAATATGACCGTGAAAGGCACTGGTTTTACAAAAACCTGACATTATTACATGACACCATCTTTGGTTTTGTTGTTTGCATATGTACATATATTCATATTAACATATCCACAAAAGCTTAGCCTTCTGTTTTTATATGTAGAGCAGATTTTAAGCTTAAATGAGAACCCCTAAAATTGGATTTTTTTCTTCATTCAGCTGAAAATCAAGATGATGGGAATAGAGGGCCACTAGCAGTCCTGAAAAGCCTCCCTCTTTTGAATTCAATGTTGTTTAGCTTTTCCTGGCACCATTTGAGTTGAGAAGAGGATAGAATTGACATTTGCAGTACCCTTGATACCAGCTTTGTTTCTATCATTGTAAACAATATTGCCTCTTTCTGGGACTCTTCCACTGGGTTCATAGTTTTTTTAAACCAGCACCTTTGTTTCCCTTGTAAATCTTTCAGCCATAGTTCCTTCTGCAGCCAAAAAAAGAAAAAAAAAGGGTATTGATTATTCAAACATCAACTTGTCAGGAAGCTTTACACAGTTTTCAACTATAAGAAATTTCTTGGTTGTTGAATTATAACTTGTAATTTTTTTATGAATTCTACTCGAATAATAATATTCTAGTCAAAGCTCAAAAATCTCTTACCACTAAATAAAAAAAAAAAAAACCTTCAGCTTGATAGGTACCATGAGAATTGGTCAGACTTTGAAATATTTACCTTTTGGAGTCTTCTTGTGAGGTCATCCAGCAGCTCTAAGTCCGTTGGATCCTCAACTGGGGGATAAGTCCATAATGAACTTTTGAATTTCCACCAAGGCTTTTTCCTGTCAGTGGATACAAATTTTCCAAAAGCCTGTATGCATTTCTCTACGAACTTCAACACTGTTTTTGCATGCACTGTTTCAGCTTCAACCCCTTCCGTTTCTTCCTCCAACAACCCTGTAGGAAACCAAATTGAGGGTAAATTTTTAAATAAATAAAGAGAAAAACTATCCAGTGAAGCTGTTAAATATAACACATCAATCTTGTTACGTATTTAACAAGGGAGCTTGATCAGTACCATTGATTTGGACTTTTAAGGCCACACCAGTAAGTAAATTCTTTCTTTTTTTAGTTAGAAATGTGTTCAACTTGGAATTTACTATACATTATTACAAGTTGACAAATTGACAAAGTTATTTAGGCAAGGATGGGGCTTTTTTACGAATTCAAAAAGTGAAAATAATCTTTTGGATAATTCCATTCATATATATTTTTTATTTTCCCACTTTTTAAAACGATTTTTTAAACAAAATTATTTAATTATTTTTTTTCTTAATAATTATTCTACATTTAAGTTTTCATATTTACAAATTTGAAAACTTTAAGAGTTTTCTAATTTGCATTTCCGAAAGTTTAAAAATTTTTATAAGTTTTTTTTTTTTTTTTTCAATTTTTTCAGATCTAAATATAATCTTTTAAAAAAACTTTTTGGATATATATTTTCGGTAAATTATAAAATTTATAAAAAAGTATATTTGGTAAATTATATAATTTACCGAAACTGCATATTGAAAAGCTTTAAAATTAAAATGAGAAGGGGAATTAAATAATTTTATCTAAAGAAAAATTGAAAAAAAAAAGAGATGTAAAGAGAAAAAATTGTCGTCTGTTTAGAACCACCCAATCTGTTGTGATCTTAGTCAATAGAGAACTGATATATGACGTACTATAATAAAGTCTTACATTAGATAATTTTAGTCATAATATAATGACAAAAATGAAAATGATATATAAAAAAAATGACAAATTTAAAATTTTAATAAAAATTGTATATATGTTTTTGAAAAAAATAAAAAAATATTTTTATATTTAGAATATCGACACAAATTATGATTAAATTAATTTTTATATTTTACATGCATTTGACTTAAAATAGATATAATACAAGATACATGAATTGTCAAATTCGTATACTACTATGTAAAAAGATGCATTCTAATTGGTTAGAAATCTTGGCCAAAAAAATTGGTTAGAAATGGATAATCTCAGTTTAATTTTATAACTAAATTACTAACCTTAAACTAGAAACAGTGGTGAAGATTGAGAGGGGAAATGAAGAATTAAAAAAGTTTACCTGACAATTTAGGAACTTGAAGTAGACTCTTGGAAGCACACCTTGCTTGAACATAATTCCAATCTCTCTTTCCATGATAACGGTACCTTTCTTCTTCCAAAAATCTTTCTAGTAATTCTTGAAAGTTTTGGAAATCCCCTGCCACTTTATCAGAAAACAACGTGTTAGAGAAGGTGAGAAACTTGAGCTTTCTGTATTGATGATGCAGGGCCTCCCAGGTCAAGCATGATTGAGCCACATAAACAAGCTCAAAATCACTCTCTAAACTTCTTAAGAGCTTCTTTTTATCCAATTTGCTCCATGATATGTAGGGGATTGAGAAATCCTTCACCTTGATGCTCTCCAGTGAACTTGGAATTCCCACTTCCTTGTTTAAGATTTCACCTGAAAAATAACCAACCATGAAATGCAATAAGTGCATCTGATTCTGATTAAGATGTATTTTACTAGAATAATTCAAGATTCAAGTTCTGTTCATCATGCACCATAGTTTTTGCTATGTCATTTTTGCATAAATAAGACTTAGCCTAAGCTATATGCAAGTTCTGCAATAATTTTAATGCTTTTTTCTTTTTCCTCCTGTAATATGTAATGACTGAAACAGATAGAAAAAAGTACCCACCTATTCCACAGGTCCTGTCATAGTTTAGCACATCAAACCACGCCATTCTTTCAGAATATTTCTTGTAAAATTCTTCTGATTCAACCTCATCTCTTGCTGTGTTTATTACTTCCCCTTCCAAAACTGGAGAGACAGAGCTGCAAGCTGGTAATGAACATTCTTTCATGAATGGTGAGCTGAAGGAACTGAACAATGGTGAATATTCATTCAAATATGCTTCATCGATAGATGGAGAAGAGACACAAAAGGAAGATGAGGACTCTTCCCCACTCAAGTCCTTGTGAAGACAAAAACTCAAGTCTTCCATATATGAATTCTCTCTTCCAGGAAGAAATTCATCCCTCTGAAGTTCAACCACTTTAGTTTTGCTTGGAATTGGTGCCATGCTTGAACAAAAACTTGAGCTAACAAGCTGATTTCGACTAATATTATCTACAGCTTCCATGGTACCAACTCTTTTTACCAATTTTAAATTGGAACCAACCTCTTTAGCTACTTGCAAGTTAGATACTCTAATAAAAGAGAAAGTATAGATGATACAATATCTACAAAATTTATAAAGATATGAACACAAAAAGCAAATGATTCTAAAAGGATAAATGAATACAGCTGAAATACATCTTTTCAGCAACTTGAGCCATAGAAAAATCTGGCAAGCAACAAGAAAAACAGGATGGATATAGAAGCTCAAATAAAACCACTTCAGATAATATCCATCAGGGATGACAATGGATTCTATGAGCAGCCAACACCGAGCAAGGGTAGCCATTCTCAGAGTTAGTTTTCAAGACCTACTGTTTCCTAGTGGCTTGTGGGGGGGGGGGGGGGGATTTTAGCAGTTAACTAAATTCCCTCATAAATAAATTTGGTTGAGGGTGGGGGGGGGAGGGGGAGGGTGATTGACTCACTGACAAATGAATGAAACAACATGGAAAGAGCCAAAATTGGAAAAATTTCCTCCAATCACCATAAAAGAAGAGTAATTATTGGGTAAGGAAACATAGAAGGAATTTTCACTTTCTTTTCAGGAGAGACAAACTGGGTTATAATATAATATACTTTTGCGATATCTTTACTAACTTTTTAGTTCAATGCATCAAAATTTCCAACTTGTTTTGCTAACTTGGATCCTATCCATTAGGACAATAGTCTAATGAATCTGACAATATCACCAAATTTTTGCTTAAAATTCCTCTATTATCCTAACCTGTCTTCACTGTTGACAAAAGTGATCATGGGTTAAGCTGCCATTTAGCAACAACTGAATCAACCGAGGAAGGCTGTTGAGGAAATTTTCAAATTGGAAAGTTAATTTTATTATTAGATTTGCCTTCCACAATGATAAAAAAAGACAAAGAAAGCATAACTTGTCATGGCATATGAACAAATATGCTTTTTCCCGGAAATGGTCTAAAACTGTTGGTGATTGATATGGCATGGATCTTGAATTGACTTCAATCATCAGCTCTTACCTCACTATTGGATAACCATTAAATAAGTCAATGGGTTTTACACACCTCACTGGTAGGGATCTACCTAACCAGTTAAGTATGTAGCAAACAATTGAGCAAAATCTGGTTACGTTACCATTAGTACAAGTAAGGATGATGGGTTGCTCACAGGATTTGAATCCTGATCAATCCAATTACTGGTAGAGATGGAAAAACAAGACAGAAATCAAAATTATGAAGAATGGTTCTTTAATCTTTATAACTGATATTTTGGGTTAAATTGTCAGCTTCTTGCTCCATGTTTTTGTGCCATTTTTTTTCTTTCATCAAACCAATAATGTTCAAAGACAGAATTCATATGAACTGTAATGAATGCTAGCGAATCATCCAATACATACCCAAGAGATTGATGATTATGTCTGGCCATTTCTGGTGGCAATGTTATTGTTTGAAACACCTGCTTTCCCATATCGAATGAAACAATGGCATCAAGATCATCCCAATAATACGCTTGATCCAAGTATGCTGGAAACCATTTATATTCTGCTGATCTCCATGGACTCTGCTCATAAAAAACCAATCAAATCTTCGGATGTTCAGCACAACAGCAATGATTTCTCTCCAAGAATCGGCAATGATTTCATGAATGATAAGAGTTTACTATAATTTTTACAACGTCTAGACATCCCATCCAATTGTTAACAATAATTAATTGGTGCTTCTTGGACACATTTTTTTCTAGAAAAAATTAAAAAAAACTAATAAAAAATCTTAGTCATGTTTAATCAAACTCTTGAATTGCAATGCACATAAGCCAAAAAGATATGATGCAATTGTTTTAAAAAACCTTTTTTTTTTTAAAATAAGTTTGGAAATTCTAGGAAATGCACATTTTTTTATTAGGATTTGCAATCAAAAGCCCACAAATATCCAACTCTCAGCTGTCAGCAGTGAAGACTCTTTCTCAATGATAACTAACTTTCATTTTACCTTATAATTTTTAATTTAATTTGTATTATTTTCTTCTGTTACATTAGGCCATTGATTTTTGTCTTCCTTTTTTTACTTCAATTTTTTCGTAAAAAGAAACCATATTTTGGAAATAAAAAAAATATAAATATTAAAATTTGAATTTAAATTTATGAAACGTTATAAATGTATAAACCAATTAAGCTAAACTCATAATTCTTTCTTTAATTTCTTTTTTAATGGAAAAATTTTTTATTTACCAAAAGCTACGGAAGACCCGTTACATGCTTACATGATAAACTTACCACAAGATAATTTTGGAATTACATTCCGAAAATATTCTCACTGAGTCCCCAAATGGAATTGCATCACGAAAAAAATTGATGGCATTTGTAATCCACATCCTGATAGTTTACCATCGACAAACTCATCCACTGTTTTATGTTTTTTTCATACATTATGCTCTTTCTTTCTGTTCAAATTCATGTATGTGTTCATTTGGATAAATGGTGAAATTGAAAATACTTGAAGTTGAGATTAATTATTATAATAGTGATATTAAAATTAATAATGATATATGTATTTGAATTTAAAAACAATCATATCAGTGAGATGAATTACGTTAAGAAACAAAATGACCATCAAAGATATTAAATTGAAAATTATATATAATAAAAAATTTAAATTATTTAATGTTTATAAAATTAATAAATAATTAAATAATTATTAAATTATTTATATATTAATAATATTTTATTAATAAATGATTAGATGTTTTTGAGCCCAGGCCGACTCACTTGACCAGCGTCTAATGACTCTAGGAATGCCGTATATTTGAAGAATTTTACCCCAAACTTGTTCAGTAATAACACGAGAAAAATAGATGATCTCTAGTTTCCAGTTCCACGAAGAGCAAGCGCTATCACTTGTGCACCAGGATCTCATTCTTTTTTTGTTGGCAGCCTATCAATGATTGCCATCCAAGCTATAAGAGCATATTTAGGAACATGGTATTTGAAGTTTGAACTATATTAATATGTGTCAGGTCACCTTCTCTTGCTTATCAAGGACTGCATTTCAAGTTACAGCAATGTTGTATTTAATCTCAGAATGAAGGTAGACTGGACATCCATACTGTTGTTGTACAAAGTCCAGACTCCAGAGTGATGCTTCTTAGTTTAAGTAGTTCCAACTACTGCTAGTATTTGTAGAAACTTGCCATAGGTTTCTATCCTTTAAAACATATTCCTTCATACAGGCAATCCAGAAAGAACCAAATTGGGTAAGAAGTGATAGATGTCTTCAATTTCACCAAGTATGATGAATTGTGAAAAAAAAAAAGAGGAAGATTATTAATGGTAACATGCTAACAACCAACTCAAACTCAAGTTCTTGAAGAGGAAGATTTTTCATGAATCTTGTTTTTATTTCCCTATTTCTTTATTATTATTATTATTAGGCCACGAACACTATTATGTTATTTTACAAAAAAAAAAAAAAAAGGTACTTAGATGATAAAGGAAGAAATTATATATGTTGAAATCTGAATTTTAAATCTGATAGATGTAATTTTTTAAAATTAATTATATGAATTAATTGAGTTAAACCTTTGATTTACTAATACTATTATTATGTTATCAATTATAGAAAAACTAAATTAGTTATTATTTCTTTTTGTTTTTGTTATCTTCTTGTTACAGTTAAGTTTTTTTTTTTAATTATATTTCTAAATAAAGTTTTTAGAGTGATGTTGTAATTTTTTTTTTCATCTTCCATGCTTTGACTTAATTTAATTCTCTGTATTATCCTTTGTTGATTCTGCCTCTATGACAAAAATGGAGAGTGTTAATTGTTACTCTAATGTTTTGGTTTAGAGCAACTCTATTTCTTAATATTTCTAATTCAATAATTGGTGCTTCTTAGACCAAAAAAAAAGAATTTTCTTTTAAAAACAATATTAATCAAGTTTCTAGTCATAGCAACAAAAATGATCATTTGTTGGGGTTGAAGTTGTTTGCCAATAATGATATAATAATTGTCACGATTCAATTGCAACTTGGTTAATGTTTTAAAGACTAAGAAGAGAACAAAGGATAATTGAAGAGATTAAGGAAAAAACAGAGGAGAATTGAGGAAACTAAGAAAAGAATAGAGAGAGATTGAGAAGAGAAAATATTTTTTCATTCCTTAAAATCAATTACAGTTATAAACTATTTAAATACAACTATTGTGGAATTGTAAAACATACAAAGTTACAGAGTATTCCAAGCTAATAGATTGATAACTAACCCCAATATATTAATAATTGACATTACTAATTTTTTTCTCATATTCACCCATTTTGTTGTGAGCTTTTAGCTTATCTCTTAATGATTCCAGCTCATTCTTTGTCATAGTCTTGTTCATGCCGCTCTTGTTTTTTTCCATCAAACTCATCATAATACCCTCTCCTTCACCACATTCTTGTCCCCAGGATCAAAATCTGAAAACTATGACTTCAGTACTGTATAGTTTTCTCAAATTGTGTTATTAGGCCCTAAATTGGACCATACCACCAGGAGTTGGGTGACAACCTTGTTGTGCCTCTTAACCATTCGTTTATCAATCACAGTAGCAGGATATACAAGTGATTACCTATCCTCATTAGTTTCTAGTGGAGCTAGCTTGGGAACTACCTTATTTCCTAACTTCTTTTTTAACAAATTGACATGAAACATTGGATGAATCTTAGAAGTAGGAGATAACTGCAATTTATAAGCAAATGAACCAATTTTGGCTAATATGAGATATGGACCATAATATCTGGATGAAAGTTTTAAACTTTTTCAGAGCACCAAAAAGGTTTGTTTATAGGGTTGGAGTTTTAAATACACTTCATCTCTCACCTGAAACTCTCTTTCATTTCTTTTCCTGTCATCATACAATTTCATCCTCTATTGAGCTTCATTCAACTGATCAACCATCAACCTACTGACTTATTCTTTATCTTTCAGTTATTCTTCTGCATTTGTCATTTTTGCTTGACTATTTGCATCCTATGCTACAGCTAGTGGTTTATAATCGTACAAAGTCTGAAATGAAGACATTCTAAAAAAAGTGTGATAGCTTGTATTATACCACCATTCGGCTAACGATAGCTATTGAACCCAACTTTTAGGCTTAAGAAAACACATATACCATAAATACTGCTCCAAACACTGACTAACCCTTTTGGTTTACTCATTAGATTTTGGATGGTAAGCTATACTCAAATAAACTGTGGTTCCCAATAATTTCATCAACTCCTGCCAAAATAAATTAGTGAAAACTGGATCCCTGTTAGAAATAACAATTCTTGGAGTCCCATGTA